CATAGTTCACTATTTTTTTTTCATTTTATTACTCTTAACTTTAGACATGTTCTGCTACTCCAACAAAATTTCTGTGTCTTCACAGAAATATTAAACATTAAAGGACAAAGTTAATTCAAAACATGGCTGTAATGTACTTATGATGTGCTCAAGAATGACTTAGGACTAACTCAGAAAACAAATGAAGTAAAATGTTCTCATTCTCAGATTATTGACAATATTAACAATAAGATGATTCTCGTGCAATAATTATCAGAACGATTGATACTCATAAAAATGAAGTCCTATGAAGGGAAAAAGTTCTGCAGACTAGAATGTTTGGCAAACTGTGATGTGCAACCTGAAGGAAAAGGTAGCATTTAGATTGGAGAAGACATTCCAAAACAGAAGATTCAGCAAGAGTTTTGTGAAGGGAGTTTATTTCTGGGATAGTGAGAAGCAGGTTACCATGTTGGATGGGTAATTTAGAGTCAAATTCTGGAGGGCCATAATGGAAGCCAACAGAGGAAAGAAGGAGAAGTTGATTAACAGGAAAAAAATGCCATGTAAAGGTCGAGGAAAATTTGGACTGAGATGGGGCCACTGAATTAGGTGAACTCCAGAGTGAAGTTTCAAAAGAGCATTAAGAATCGAAGCCACATTATAGAAGTCTAAGAAGAAAAACAGTTATGATAAATGGTGGCAGCAGGAATAGCCCACTCATCTGAGGAAAAGGAAAATTAGGGTCAAGGAAAGTTGTAGAGTAAGTGTCTGTGTGTGTGTTCAGGATAGATAACACATTCTATAAAATGTGATCAAATGAAAATAAAATATCTAGCATGAATACATGGAATCTAGTATGCTTCTCAGGTACAGTGAGTGAGTAGAATTATGTGATTAATTGCATTCGATAAATTTAATATCACGAATTCCTTTGGCACACAAACGCCCTCGTGTGTCCTCGTGTTTGAGGGATATATTCTCGATAGATGGCAAAATGCAGATTCCTGTTTTCCTGCAACAGGTTAAGTGCCAGGAATGACAACATGCCGCTCACCTGAGCAACCCTGAGCCATGCTGGGACAAACAGTGCAGGGACTAGCCTGCTAACCAAGCAGTTCTGTGTAAGCATCTTTCCGCTCAGGTTCTGTGGGACTGAGGTGTGTGAAAACTCACTGCTCCCATCCTTAGAATGTAGAGTACCTATTGTGTAGGGTATTTGTCATTTTCAGTCTGTTTATAATCTTTTTTTTCCATTTAGGGAAGGCTCCTTTTGACCGGAGGTGGTTAATCAGTAGTCTTTATTATCCTGCACCTCACCTCCATCATCTGCCACACACACACACACACAACACACAACACACACACACACACACACACACACACACACACTCCTAACACACAAGTTATCATCTGATCAAGGTTTGCCAATCAGATTCACCATACCCCTGGTCATAGTGATGGGTGATCAGGTCAGGGTCAATGGGCATGTGACCAGACCAGGGCAATCCGAGTATCCCCAGGGCTTTGACTCTTGATGGCTACAGGAAAGGAGTATACTTTTATTTTCTCTGAGATTGCTAGGCTTAAAGGACAAATAAACCTAGACCTGCCAATTATTTTTGCAATCACATCAGAGAAACATTCCTGGGAACAAAGCCTGCTCAGAAAAAGCAGAGCTGAGAGATAGAGAAGGACAGAACCCTGATGAAATTGGTTTAAGTTCCAGGATCCACTTATGGTTCTATTTCTGTTCTGTAAGCCAGAACATTCTTTTTCTTTTCCTCAGTTCGTTGTTATTTGCTACTTTTCCTCAGTTCATTGTTATGATGCAACTCCTGAGAATAGTTGGTCAAAATGTAAGGAGAAAAGGTATGAGCAGGAGAATTATAACTATTCCCTTCTCTGAGTACCTAGACCTCTTTAATATTCATTTCTATAAGTAATGCGCACTTCACTTCCTCCAGTGTGTTATGGCCTTTCATGTACATATTTTTATTTCTGGTACTAGAATGTGGACTTCTTGAGAGCAGGGATAGTTTCTGCTGTTTGTTTGTTTGTTTGTTTTCTGCCATTCTGTTGTGTGACAGACCCTATAACTCAGTAGCCCTCAGGCGCCCCAAGCTTTTTCCCTTGTTCATCTACCACTGCAGAGACTGGCAAAGGCCAGGTATTTACTTTCCGAGAAAGTGCTGCTGCTAAGACTGATAGTGTGTTTCAATTCTGCTCATTCAGGTATAAGTAGAAATGTGCTGAGAAAAATGGTTTATTTTCCAAGAAAAGTTCTGTTTTTGCCATTACTTCTTTCTTTGTGCTTGGAACATGGATGTGCAAAAAGACAGTGTCTTGAGCTGCAGCAGCCATATTGTGATAAGGAGGCACGAGCATGAGGGAAACAAAAAGCCAACTTGCTTTAAATAAAAATTGTACCATGCCTGAAACTACCTGCATTCAAACTTATTTTTACTCGATCAAGTTTAGAATACACAGGCCCATGTTTATCTAGACCTTACCTTAACAAGTTAGCGATTATATACCAAATTTCTTGTTTCCTGAATGATCCATCAACTTCAATCTAGACGTTAATGTCTATGAATCTCTAATTTTGAGGCTGGCAAAATTTTGTGTTGGAAAGCACATAAGCATTAAAATCAGAGTTGAGCTGATTTCTATTCTCAGCAGATTACTAACTGTATGATAGGACCTTATAAAAGTCACTGATTATGAATTTCTGCTTCTTTTTATTATAGTGCTGATAAATTATATTCCTTAGGTGCTTCACAGTTTGGCATAAGGATTTAGTTGGAAAATGTATGTGAATATATTTTATAAGATGTAAGCTGCTAAACAAACGTTAATTACACATTTTTAATTTAATTTCTTCATGCAGAACTGTAGATATGTAGATTTAGTTGGAAAATGTATGTGAATATATTTTATAAGATGTAAGATGCTAAACAAATGTTAATTACATATTTTTAATTTAATTTCTTCATGCAGAACTATAGATATGTCTTATCCTTCATGCAGAACTGTAGATATGGTAAGCAGCAAAGATCCCCTAAGAGAATATTATTAATAACTTATTTTGCATAAACTTAGTTATAAAGTAACATTATATTTAAGTTAAAATACTTTCCACCGTGTGAAGATCATGCACTATTTTGTTTGTAAATCATATACTTATGACGGCCTGTTTATGTTCATCCTCCACGATGACGAAGGAACGAAAGAAATGCCTGGAAATGTTTTATTCGTAATGCCATAAAAGCCCAGATTCAGTGTAGTTATTTCAACAGAGCAGAAGTGCTAACATTTTAAAGTTAAGCATTGAAGAAACCTCACACTATTTTGATACTGTTACTTGAAAAGTAATATGGCAGAGCCTTTGACTATGTCTAGAATAATACCTGGAGAATCCAGTATCTGTGTAAAATTTCATAGGATCAGCTGTTTAAACATCAGCCTGATTAAATATCAATACATGTTTTGCAAGCATTGGAAATTTTACCCTATTATTATCTCATAACATAATTTTCCACTAGTAAACAGATTTTCCTGAAAGCAGCCAAATTATCTTGTATCATGTCCTCATCCCGAAATGTAAGGGTGTTCTACCAAAATACTCCAGGGAAAATAGTAGGTTTCCATCTGCCTTGTCCTGCGTACCAAAGATCAGAAAGTTCACCTGGCTGGTTTTAAAATAGCCTCATTCCAATAATGCAAGAGAACTTATGCCTTTTCTTGGTCTTCTTAGTTACAAAACTTAAGCTTTTTTTCACTATGCATTATCTAAAATAAATAACACATTAGTGTAACAAAATACAAACTCCAAAAACCCTCGTCTAGAGGGAGGCTTTTATTCTTTTTTTTTTAATATTTGTATTCCAATTTTCATATCTCCTTTTTCTACCTTAAACATTTCTTAATTCCTCCAAATATTATTATAAAAGAAAAAAGACCTTTCAACTTTGACCATTTGAATTGTAATTACCTAGTGCTCACTACTTAGGGAAGAATACATAATAATCATAGTTGTTTTGGGTTTAAGGTACAGTATGGTTTACTTCTTAATTTAACTTGATTAGAAATGAAATAGATAGTAATTGGAATACATTTGAGATGATAAGCTCCTGCAAAGTAAAGAGTGTACCTTGTCCCTCTTTTGTAACTTTCTAATAATACTAAAATACCAGTCTGACAACTAGTAGTGTGGGTCAGTAGTTGTTTGATTAACCTATACATCAACATCATTCAAACTTGTTAGTACATCCCAAATAAAAATCACAATTAAAAAAGCAAAAATTTGCAACATAAATATCATAGCGTTTTTTTTTTTTTTGGTATTTTTCCCCTTTTATCTCCAGTTGGCATCAGAGAGATATAATTTTATAAATGATATTTATACCTATTAGTAGGTATAAACTCTCAAATTTTATTCACTTAACCCTGGTTGATATAAATAAGTAAATGAATAATGAGTAAACAGACTTTTTAGGGCAATGATAAAGAGTTGAGGATGAATTTTCTTCAATACTGATACTAAATTGAAAATCAATAGTGTTTTTGCCCAGAGAGGAACAAAATTAAATCAATTTCCAGACCAAATTGGTGTTGTTGTTGTTTTTCTTTTAGTTCTGAAGAACTGATTTGATTTTTATTCATAAAAGAAATTTCATGTATTAAATTGTCTTTCAGTCCCTCCACTTCAATTATCCTAATAATAGGAAAATATACAGAAGGTAAACCAAACTTATTTCTATCCTAGTTAACTTTGAACTATACATACTGTTAGAATTCTAAAAGATAATATTTTCAGTGTGCATGATTTCAAAGCAACATAAATATATTTTATACAGTATGTATTTTAAAAGTTGACAGTGTTTTTGTACCATTCGTATGCTGTTCTGGAACAAATAGCAAAAAAGCAAACCAAAACAACAACAACAACAACAAAAAACACAAGAACCAAAGAAAAAGAAAAAGAAAAGAAAATGAAAAAAGAAAATTAGTGTTCTCACCAGACTGCCAAGAATTCTCCTTATGGATCCATGCAAGCCTCTAATTTTTAGCGGGTTGCTTTTATAGCTTTTGGAATGTTGCCATTGAATTTTCCCTTAATTTATTGTCAGACTGTTTCTAGTAGATTTCTCTCAGTGGTTTGCTGAACTCTCCCCAGCAAACTGCCCTCAAGTCACCTGAGCCATAGCCAGCAGAGGACTCTTATGACCCATGTCTACAGGCTGTTGAGCTCAGCTCAGGGAATTGTGCATCCTGACCATCAGAGCTCTTCCAGGTAAGGCCAGTCCACTTCCAAAGAGTTGCTGGACCTCTCCCAGCACATTGGCACACTCTGACGGCTGGACTATTCCCAGTCAACTGGCAGAATATAATCAGTTGGCTGCTGACAATGGAAATGTAGCCCTCACTACTCAAAAGATGACACCTTTCTTCATGAGGCAATTCGGTGATACAGGGGGAAAAGCTGTAGCCATGGTTAGAGCAAACCAGTGTTTAATGTAGAAACAGTAACTGCTTACCACAAACCCTCAATACAACCAGTAAACAAATTTACAAATTAGAGCCGAGTTACAGATTTCCCACACATATTTCTTCTATCCAGCTTTTTTTTTTTAAATAATGTTTATTTATTTTTGAGAGAGAGAGAGAGAGAGTGGGGGAAGGGCAGAGAGAGAGGGAGACACAGAATCTGAAGCAGGCTCTGCTGATAGCTCAGAGCCCGATGCAGGGCTTGAACTCACAAGCCGTGAGATCATGACCTGAGTCAAAGCTAGAGGCTTAACTGACTGAACCACCCAGGTGTCCCTATCCAGATTCTTTTTTTTAAGTTTATTTACTTTATTTTGGGAAAGAGAGAGTGTGAGCAGGGGAGGCAGACAGAGAGGGAGAGAGAGAATTACAGGTAAGCACTGTGCCATCAGCATAGAGCTTGACTCAGGGCTCGATCCTGCAAGTTGTGAGATCATGGCCTGAGCTGAAATCAAGAATTGGATGCTCAAGCAGCTGAGCCACCCACGCATCCCTCTATCCAGCTTTGTGTTCTCTAGAGCATTTGTCTCAAATTTTAGTCTACTATTCTATAATCAAAATACATTTTAATAGTTTTAGAGATTTTTTTTGCAAATATGAGTTACAACAAGTAAAGACTTACCTACCATTATTCTTTTTACATTTTTATGGATTTATTAACTATGATAATGGAATCTTCACAATTTCATCTTAGTTTGATTAAAATAATTTTTAACAAGCTTTCAATAAGCATTAGTTAGAAATTTTCTACCTATCCATTTTCTTACCTATCCATAGTGCAATTATAAAAATCAGGAGGTAAACACTAACATGACATTATTAGTGAATTTATGGACCTTACTCAAAACTCATCAATCGTCCCCAGAATGTCTTTAAAATGTAAGCCATTTTATGTATTTTTTTAAATTTTATTTTAAATGCAACCCATTTTAGAAATAGGAAATGGAGCTGTGTAAAGCATGATTTTTTTTCCACAATTATAAAAGGAGAGAAAAAGGGATGAACATGGAAATTCTGATGCACAATGATCTTATACAGTAAGGTACAATAAGCAACATTTGAGCCGGAAATATATATGTTGTAACCCAGCAAACTGTATTTGGGTGTCATCAAAAAACCTTGTTGTGGAGGGGGTGGGGCACCTGGGTGGCTCAGTGGATTGAGCTTCTGACTCTTGGTTTTTGCTTGGGTCATGATCTCGTGGTTTGTGAGATCCAGCCCCGCGCTGGGCTCTGCACTGACAATGCAGAGCCTGCTGGGAATTCTTTCTCTCTCACTCTCTTTCTGTCTCTCTCTCTCTCTCTCTCTCTCTCACACACACACACACACACACACACAATAAATAAATAAACTTAAAAAAAACTTGTTTGGGGAAAGCTGTCAAGTTGTCTCCTGCTTTTGCTCCAACTTACCTCTGAGGTTCAGTAACTTTACCTTGAACATAATGTTATTTTTCATAATAATGTTGATCTAAATTGCTAATTTTCACAACTTTCTCACTTGTTTTCTGGCTTCTAATTTTTCATACTGTGTAAACTTCAATACGTTATCTGTCACCTTGGCATCTCAGTTTCCTTATCTGGAAAATAGGAAATTCAATAGATATTTTGTTTATTATGATTAAAAGTGATGAAATATTTAAAGTCCCTACCTAGTGGAGTCTGGCACATTTCAGGGGATCAATGAGTGTATTTTTCTTTTCCTTTTGAGTCCCAGAGTGAAAGCCTTAACACATGACAGCTGGCTCTACACATCAGCAGAGGAGACTGTAACTTGAATGGCATGAATTGCCATCTACTCAAAAAGCGTCAGGCTTTAAAATGCCTGCAATTCCCTTTGAAGACTCATGCCTTCCACACACCAAATGCTTCTGTTAAGACCCACATGTTTTATCTGAGTTGTGGGAGGAGGGACTAACTGATTCATTACCATCTTTCGGTTTATGGGTTTATGTAACGATCTGGTTACATGGGAATGGACCATGGCAGAGAGTCTAAGGAGAGCAAGTCAGGAAAGGGCTTCTGGTGGTCCTCTGAATGGAAAGGTGATCATCTCGGGCCTGACGACCTAGAAGAAGGGAAGATCTCTAAAGCCGAGGTGTAGATGCAGCCAGGATGAATAAGAACCAAGACTAGATTCTCGAGTTTTTACATTGGACTCTAGAGTAAGTCTTGAGTTTGACCCAAGTTACTGTTTGCCTTTCTTTCTCTTTCCTAAAAACAAAATGCACTGTGTTTGTTAGTGGATACTGATGCCTTCTCTTAAGTGCTTTAAGCTAGATATGAGGGCAAGGCACAGGGTAGGATGAGACTAGGGAAAAATACTTTAGGGTGCTGTGAAAAACACCATCTACCCTGGTCCAAACATTAGGTTACCGGGTGTGTGACATGTTGACTCCCATAACATTTATTGCTTTCACCTGCACTTTGTCATTGACTTGTCTGTTTTTCCAACTAGATTTTAAGCCTTTTACACACAAGTATTTGTCTCCATCTTCAGGGCCTAGAATAATGCCTGACACTTAAATTAGGTTGTTGTGATACTTCATTTTATGTGTCCACTTGACTGAGCCTGTGGGGACCTAGACATTTGATCAAACATCATACTGGGTATTTCTATAAGGTTCTTTTGGGATGAAATTAACATTTAAATTGGTCACATGGGTAAAGCAGATTAAGCGGCCCCCCCCCCCCCGCCATGTGGATGGGCTTCATCCAATCAGCCACAAACCTGAATAGCACAAAAAGGTGCGCCCTCTTTCCTTCTGCCTGACAGCTTTCTAACTGGGACATAAACTCTTCTCTGCCGTTAGACTAGAACTAAAGTCCGACTCTTTCTGGATCTTGAGACTGTTGGCCTTTGGACTACAACTATATCATTGATTCTCCTCAGTCTCCACCCAATGGACTCACCCTGCAGATCTTGGGACTTGCCTGCCTCCATAATCACATTGGTAACATTCTTTTTCTTTTTTTCTTTTTTTAAATTTATATCCAAGTTAGTTAGCATATAGTGCAACAATGATTTCAGGAGTAGATTCCTTAATGCCCCTTACCCATTTAGCCCATCCCCCCTTCCACAACCCCTCCAGCAACCTTTTGTTTGTTCTCCATATTTAAGAGTCTCTTGTGTTTGGCCCCCTCCCTGTTTTTATATTATTTTTGCTTCCCTTCCCTTGTGTTCATCTGTTCTGTATCTTAAAGTCCTCATATTAGTGAAGTCATATAATATTTGTCTTTTTCTGACTGATTTCACTTAGCATAATACCCTCCAGTTCCATCCATGTAGTTGCAAATGGCAAGATTTCATTCTTTTTGATTACTGAGTAATACTCCATTGTATATATATACACCACATCTTCTTTATCCATTCACCCATCGATGGACATTTGAGCTCTTTCCATGCTTTGGCTATTGTTGATAGTGCTGCTATAAACATTGGGGTGCATGTGTGACTTTGAAATGGCACACCTGCATCCCTCGGAAAAATACCTAATAGTGCAATTGCTGGGTTGTAGGGTAGTTCTATTTTTAATTTTTTGAGGAACCTCCATACTGTTTTCCAGAGTGGCTGCACCAGTTTGCATTCCCACCAGCAGTGCAAAAGAGATCCTCTTTCTCCGCATCCTCGCCAACATCTGTTGTTGCCTGAGTTGTTGATGTGAGCCATTCTGACAGGTGTGAGGTGGTATCTCATTGTGGTTTTGATTTGTATTTCCCTGATGATGAGTGATGATGAGCATTTTTTCATGTGTCGGTTGGACATCTGGATGTCTTCTTTGGAGAAGTGTCTATTCATGTCTTTTGCCCACTTCTTCACATTAGTAAAATTCTTATAATAAGTATCTATCCTCTATCTATCACCTATCTATTTACCATCTATTGGTTCTGTTTCTCTGGAGAATCCTGACTAATACAGTGATCAATAATTTTGTCTTATTACTTTTGAATAAGTAAACGAGTGGGCAAAAGTAAATTGTTAGGCAAAGTGAATCCACTTTACTCCTTCAATGAGGTGTTTGGGCTAATGATGACCCCTTTTAGCTATAACGTTTTTAAGATTCTAAAGCCTCTCGTCTTCTGCTTATTGTATTTTAAAATAACCAGATAAAGAAATGACATACTTTTCTTCACTGGTTGAGGAAAGGGAAAAATCGAAAACAAAAGCAAATCTTTGCATCGATAGCAACGTCTGTTTGTCACAAAGTATGAGTAGACGGATGTCACATTTCCATCTTGGAGGACTGTGAGCAAGTGCCTATTCTCTCATTTGACATACTTTCTTCTATTTCCTGGCATATATCTCATTCCATCCCATCTTAGGTATCGCATTTCTTAAAAAGTGTTTTTTTTTTTAAGAATGATAGTGCACTAGGTTTTATAAAATCTCTTGCACCAAAAACAAAATGGAAAAATGGTCCAAAGTAAAATACAAATGTTACTGGTGCTATGGATATTGTAACTAATTTCAGATCCCAAACATTGTCCTAATAGGTAGACTAACACTCAAAGGGATAGATTTTCTTCTTTAGGGTTCTCATGTGCCACTCGAGGACCAAGAACGATGTAGTCCAGGTAGAACCATAAAAAAGGAAATAACTACATTATGTCATATTGCTTAAAAAAGAATAGCAACATATTCTGGCGCTGCTCTGTGATAGATATTGTTTTAAGAAGTTTAACGT